TGCTTTTTATTTATTTAAGGCCTTGTGGCCAACACATACCATTTTCCACAGCACTCTTCAGGAATCCAGAAATGTCTTATAAATATTGAAAATTGCAGAACATCGATGGCACACATTGGAAATCGGGGATCCATGAGACAGGGACGGCAGAGGCTCAGGGAGGTTCAAGACATGCAGAACTGTGAGCCCAAGGGCCTGTACTTGGTTATGTCTGGAGCAGCTGAAGTGTGAAATCCCTCAGCAGTGCGAGGCATGGCTCTTCCTTCGCTCTGATTTGCTACAGAAAGTCACAACAACTTGCAAAGCAAAACTCAGGATGACCATAACTGCATTTCGTATCAAGACAGCATGAAAATTTGGAAATGTTGGTAGGAGAGCACTGCTTTCTTTTCAGCCTACTTCCTAAATCCATTCCAGACCAAACACATAAAAGTGAAACAGTCATTTTTCACGTACCGTTTTGGTTTCAGTAAAACCCTACTTTTGTCTGGACAATTTCAGAGTGAAAATTCCTGGCTGAAACTCTCACAGGTATGCTCGGTATGCATGCCTTATCTGTAAATCTCAGAGCACTTACAGAAGTAGCTGGTGCTGCTCCCAGCTGACCCATAAGGCACAGTAAATGAAGCGGTTTCTTTGACAGAGAATTGTAAGCAATAAGGGTGTAGCACCTGGGAATTGCTTGTGTAAGGCAGTTTTTACCCCTCTCCTGAGGCAGCTGACCTGCATGTTTTACAAGGAGTCGCTGTTAAGATCTACTGTGCTGGGACAAGCATTTAGAGCCCCTCGCTATGCCACAGGGAAGCTGTGGGCCCTAAAGCATTTCGCTTAAGTAAAATCATCATTGTTAAAGGGCTGGTGCTCCTGACAGCCACGCAAGGAAGATGCAGATCCCCCAGATGGTCACAAATCTTTAGGACTTGACTGTGGCTGTTTTATAGCACACGCTTGGCTTTGGCTGCTTGTGTGGTTGGAAGGCTGAATTAATCAAACTTCTGCAGAGCATCAGTAAGAAGTAACTGTGGGTTAAGCCTTGTTCCAGCAAAGAGCTTGTCCTAAAAAAGCCATGTCCTTTAGCAAAAACTAGCTGAAAACAAAATCCATGCTCAGGCACATGGAGATTTTCCTTTTGTGTTTTCCTCATACAGCCTTGAACTGCCCACGTAAATAACAAACATGGGAGCAGCCTCATGTTCGCTACTCTGCAGTTAGAACCTGCTATTATGATAATCTTCTGTTTTTGCACATACAACCTCACTAAGGGAAGGAAGATTCTTTTAAGCTTGTACATCTGCCATGTTGAGGGAAGCCTGTTTTACTGACAAGTTACTGAGCGCCACGTGTGGGGCAGGCTTGGGAGGTTGGACAGCATGCTAGTCCTAGATGGCTCTTGCTAAAAGTCTTAACAAAACCCCGTGGAGGTTTTCCTCCAAGCTCAGCAGACAGTGGAGGTCTCAAGCCTCTTCAGAGCCTTCCTGTGCTGCCTGTGGGAGTGGGGAGGGACTTTCCAAGATGTGTGGCAGCAGGACCCATCACCAACCACTGCGGGGCCACCACAAGCACCACCTGTGTGTCCAGCCACTACAGGAGACTCCTTTGAAATGCCCAGCATGTGGGAAAGGAAAAACCCACTCCCGAGGTTTCAGGGGCTTGGCTCAGTGAGGCAAAAACCTGGGAGAGAAGCAACCTGCAGCCTCTTCCCCCAAGAAGGGCAGTCAAGAGAGTGGACATGAACCTCTCTTTGCTGGAGGCTCAGTAATTTCCCCAACCTTCTTCTTCCAGATTGAGCCCTGCGTACGTAAACAACAAGTGCTAGCCTTCAGGCAGCACCTTCAGAACTGTAAGATCTGTCTGTAATAGTTAAGGCAGAAAATGTTTCTCAGTTGCTCAGAGTGACTTTAAAAAGTAAGAGAATGGATCATAAAATAATTTTAGCAAAGTTTTAAAGAGAAACAACTCTGGAGGCTTCTTGTTCACAAGAAGTATGACCATCATGAAATGAAGATGCTCTTTCTGTAAAACTCATGAATGTGCACTGCAGTTGGTCAACCCATGCCAATCTGCAGTCATACATACAGTTCACATGATAGGGCCAGCAGACTAAGGGTGGATGAAAATGTGCTACCAATTATTTGTTACCTTCTCCATCAAGAGAAAACTATTTGTGTCTTGGCTGAAGGGGGAAGATTGATGTTTTGAGCTCTAATGTCTTAAAATTGTTTGTTTTATCAACATTCTACTGATTACTGATTACTTAAGTAGCAATGAAAATTCATTAGGAATATTTTGAGATGCAGTAAGTGCACTAAAGTCTAAACAGTTTAACATTGACAGTGTATCTTCATTTTCAACAGATGATGCTGGTGTTTACTCTGAGGGGCTATCTACAAACATGGGGAAAAGCAGAAGAACCAGTTGCTTTCACACAGCTCATACACTGCAAAATACACAGCCCACTGTGGGTATGTCATCACTTCAGATCACGGACTTTGTAACAGAAGTTTTCAGTCATTTTTCCCCGTTTGCCACCGGAGTATCAGAATTACACACGATACTTCATTTTGTCAGCTTTGAATACATCTTCCTCTCTGCTGTCCCAGATACCACAAATTACCCTTGTATTGAGAGTCAGAATTGCTTGTCATTTGAAGTTACTTAAGGATGACAAAGATGAGCAAGATGCAGAAACACCTGCTGTGACTGAACACTACTCATCTTTCTTTCAGTGTGATAAATGTGTTTCGTGGTATCATCCTGAAAATGCTAACATTTGTGACAGTATGCATTCATTCAAAGGTGAGTTATGACAAAAACTGATGACAAATCCTTCAGTCATATATGGCTACCTAAAACAGGGATGAGCATTCCACAGGAAAGGGAAGATAATTTTATTCTTCGGCAAACACTGGCTTTCAAATACCTGACAGTGCTTGACTTCATAGTGGATTTCATCTACAAAATTGCTTTGATTTGGTTGTTTTCTATGAGAACAAAAAGGCCAAGTGTTTAGAGAACTGCAACTGTTCTTGAAGGACTGAGAACTGAGAAGAGACTAGATATAGACAGCTGAGTGAGGGCTACAGTCTACTGCCACGTGCATCAGTGTTTTTGAGGTAATTGTTTAAAAACCATCTGATATCCAAATCCAAACTTCTTTTGTCTCAGTCTTTTGGATATTTTATGATCATCTTTACCTCAGCTGTGGCAACAGAAAGAATATGTGTAAACAGATGTGGAAAGGTTGCAGGTACCAATATGTTGCAATAAGAGTGAGCTTCAAATAATATTTGTTTTAATGTAAATATAAGAATTCAATGTGTAAAAAAGATATATTACAGTGTGTTAGAATTGATATTAAACTTTTAAGCATTATATTTAGGTTAAAGATAATTGAATTTGTGGCTAGTACAAATGTGACCTACCAGAGCTCCCTAAAATGTCCTTTACAAAATATGGTTTCATTTTTCTTGAGGTTGCCTCTTATTTTCATCCTCAAAACAGCAGCTGAGATGTGTTGTTGGTTGGCTTTTGCTCTGAGTGATGCTCAGTTCCAAGGCCAAGTTTGTACAGATGTGTCCTGCTCTAGCAGAGGTCTGTTGAATGCTGTTGATGGACCTCTCACAACCTCAGGAAAATGGGCCATGACCATACTAAAGGAGAGTTGCTGCCAGAAGGCTTCAGCTAGCCAAAATTGCTCCAGCTGAAGGGTGAGGGACCAAGCAGCCACTGCTAATCTACCACCAGGCTAACAAGTAATGTCTGCTTCACAGAATTTCTAGGTTGGAAGAGACCTCAAGATCATCGAGTCCAACCTCTAACCTAACACTAACAGTCCCCACTAAACCATATCCCTAAGCTCTACATCTAAACGTCTTTTGAAGACTTCCAGGGATGGTGACTCCACCACCTCCCTGGGCAGCCCGTTCCAGTGCCTAACAACCCTTTCAGTAAAGAAATTCTTCCTAACATCTAACCTAAAACTCCCCTGGCGTAACTTTAGCCCATTCCCCCTCGTCCTGTCACCAGGCACATGGGAGAACAGGCCAACCCCCACCTCGCTACAGCCTCCTTTAATGTACTTGTTCCAGTTCCAGTTTGTGGTCTACATGATGTTCCAGTTTGGGTCTACATGAGCTCAAGAACTCCTGGTGCACAGTCCTGTACAGTGTATTAATTCTATGTAATGTATGAATTTATTTTATATTAGCTATATTATGGAATTATGAAAATTAATTTGGCAAAAAGCTGTGGAGCTTGCCATTCAGTATGGATGCTGCATTTCACCATAAAAACTGCAGTATGGTTGCAAATCCCTCTGAGTACATCAGGTCCAGGCTTGGATGCAGACCTGGCTGACAAAACCCACCATGGCAGAAAAGGATTCTTAGCATCCTGTGAGCTTCACCATGTTTCACAGAAAACAACTTAAATCTGCAAATGGTGTAGCTGATTCCAGACGTACAGACAACTGAAATACCGGGTTGAGGCACACGTTAGTTCAAAGGGAGAGCCCTACGAGCACGGCTGGGTTGTTTCCAAGCTGGCTGGCAGATCAACCCGCAGCCAGGAGGCCGTGGTTTGTCTCTTCTGCATCACGCTCGCAGCACATCGCAGGCAGGCTCTGGCAGGCCCTGAGCCACATATGCACAGCCAGATCCACATGTAGGGAGGCTTCGCAAGGCACAGTCAAACCCAAGCCTAGTTTTCATTCTCTCACAGAGGCTATAACCTGAATATACTATATTTTTAAAGATGAACTCTTGTATTTTTCCCCCCTGCAGCTATGTGTTAGCTTAATAGCAGCTAGAGCATTTTTTTTTCATTGATTGCCAAAGATAGGGTATCATTTTCTTTTTAAACGGAGTCCAAGAAAGGCATCTTTCAACCTGCAGGTGTCAAGTTTCAGGAGCAACCACCACCCTCCAAAGCAAACAGCTGCCTGGGCTGCCTCCTGCATTTACCTGCCCCATGCAAGTCCCAGGGAAGATGCGAAGCTGCAAGCACAGCAGTGAGTTGCTCCTTTCGCTGGGGAGCGGCAGGAAGGAAAGCGTTAAATGCCGAGGGTAAACATCACCCTCTTTGTTACCGAGTCAGCAGAGCAGAGAGGATCCCACTGACAAACCCAGCCTGGCAGCCTCTCCCCAGCCAGACTGGTTATTGCTCCGGAGGCTCTTACTCATTTGAATTTAGGAGGAGCTGCCTCCCTCCCTCCCTCCCATGAGTGTCCCGATTAAAAAGCTTTTCTCAGACACCTGCAGACCGGCTGGCAGGTACGGGTGCTCCCTTAGCTCGGCTGGGTCGGTAGCAGAGACAGCTCTCCTCGCCCCGCCAGCCTCCTGCAGCCCTGCACGATGGTGAAGTACGGCCTCGACTACACGCGGTGCAGATGGATCCTACCCCTGCTCCTGGGCATCGGCGTCATCTTCGGCATCATCGCACTGGCGGGCAGGGGCTGGCTGGAGTCGCAGACCTTGCCCTACGTGCACCAAGCGTCGCTATGGGAGAGCTGCAGGAAGCCCTTTGAGGGTGGGGAATGGAGGTGCGAGTCCCTCATGGGTTACGGTAAGCATCGGCAGGGGCGACGGGGAGGGCTCTGAAGCAGTGGGTCACCTCTCCGAGCTCTTCTTCCCTCAGCTCTCCTCGGCGTATCTCCTTATATCTGACTTTCATGTAAGAAGCTATGGGAGATAGGGACCGACACCGAAATACATCAAGGTTTTTGAGAAACAGAATGAAGGTGCCCTCAACCCTGTGCAGGAAGAAACCTGGGTGCTTTAGGAAATGGCTTGCATGGTACAAAGAAAAAGCCACAAGTGCAGAAAATATCACAGCACTAAAGACTTTTTTTCCTCTTTTAGCAAAAGCTGGTAAACTTTTCTCACTAATCACGGCTTTCCAGAACTTAAAAGATACTGTTGATCAAATGTCCAAGAAGCAAGTTGTGGGGGTAAGCCTGGAATGAGTGTGATAAGCCAAGTGGGGAGGTAGAAATGTACAAGTGGGGAGGTAGAGATGATACAAAGATATCCCCAGGGAGTGTCAGACTGCAGAATGCTACTCCAGTAGGTGAGTCGTGTGAAGGAGCCTTCGTGTGATTATGAAAGAAAGCTTTAAGAGAAGAAAGCATTTATGTTTTTGTTGAATTTTGCTTAAGTGTGCTATTAAACAAGCTGTCCCAGCTTGAAGAGGTTTAAACGACTAAGTCTGGGAGGGTAGGCCAAGAGAAAGATCACTGTAAATGTGTGCTGTTTCTTAGATTTTTTCTGTATGTCAGGTATGGGCCACAGTCTGAAGCAAGTTATTGGGAGTGATGGACTGTTAGCCTAAGCCAGAAGGTTCAAGCTTTCTTGTGATTTATGCTGATGCTCACTCAAATTTTACTGAAGAACATTTTCTCTAAGGTTCAAATTTCAGCTGTTTTAGTTGAAAATGAGAGCTTGCAGAAGCAGTCTCAGAGGTCATTTATTACAGCTTTTCAAAAGTACTCCTGAAAGTATATCATCCATGGCCAAACTCTACCTCCTGTGCTCAGAATTAATCTGTGAAGAGTTAACTGTAGCAGGCCCATGCGAATGCAGGGCTGTGAGACAAGGCCAGCTCCATTCAGCCACATGCCCAGTCCTGCTCTCGGAGCTCCTGTGTCAGCTATTTGGCTGGGCATGGATCAAGCCAATTTGCTGCCTCTGGCACGTGGCATTGGAGGGCAGGAGAGAGACCGTGATGCTCAGCTGCAAGTATGTGTGCATACTGTGGGCAGAGGGGCGGTGAGAAAGGCCTGGCCTTCCTTGGTTAGAGTTAGCAAAGGGCTTCCCAGTCCTGAGTTTCAATGAAAAGTTAGGTGCTCCAGTTTAGGCACTGTCTGTGTCATGAAGGCCCATTTTGCCCAAACAGCGAATTTCAGAGGTTTCACCATGCTTCTCTTCATGCTATAAATGCTTCCAGGTCCCACATGCTTGTTTGGCATTACACTTCCTTCCTTACCCTGCCTCTCTCTTACATGCTTAAATCCTGTAGTTGTATGCAGTTTCCCACTGGGAAGCATCTACAGACAAACCAGGGAGGTCGTCCTCCTCTGGACTATCCCACAACATGTCATGTTACCTTGAATTACATCCTCAGTAAGTGCCACGCTTCTAACATGTTGGTCTTAGTACACACATATTCTCCAGAACATGCATTGGAGAGTCATCTGGCACTTTTGAAAGCATTAGAAGTGCTGTTTGCATGCTGCATGACTGCAGTACTCTCTCAGTGGACATCTATCTAACAGTTAACCTCTGAAAATTTACTAAATACACAGAAAGCCTGAGCAAATCCTCCTCGACAACATTCCCAGGTGGAAAAGGATATGTCTGAGACAATAGAGTCATTTAGTCAATGGGGCAATATGTAAAAGTAGAACGTAACAAATACGCACATAAGCCAAATGACGGTGGATTTTGCTGCCAGACCTTTGGCTTTGCAAGATTAATCCATTGCAGTGTAAATCTGGGCCTGTGTAAAATACAAGGGTGGGCCCCCCAGAGGGGTAAGAAGGCTGTAGACCTATCATGGTGCAAAGTCACGTCACTATCCTGCTCCTTTCTAGCCCCGTAGATGTAGATACCCACTCTCCCCTAATGCAAGCAGGGTGTCTGCAGCACTATGCAGCAGAGCTGTGGTCCTCCTTGCTCTTTGTACTTCTGTTTTTGTGATTTTCCTACCCATTGCCAGGGGACCAGGACCAGGACCTATTACAGGAAGACCTGGGCTGAGCCCCCAGCCTGATCTGGACTCAGGTCCCACCCTTTCCAGGCAAGCCTGCTAACAGTTCAGGTGTTACCTAGAGGTGGCCTGCAACGGAGGCAGCAGGAAACACCATTTTCTCTCCTATTTATGAAACACAGAAGAGGAAGGAAGGATTGCAGTCTGTGGTTTTTTTGTTTGTTTGTTTGTTTGTTTGTTTGTTTTGGAAGAGCAAATGAGCAATCTGTCTCAGAGGACTAGTCTCAGCTCTCAGCCCTGAGGAGACGGAGGTGCTTTCTGGTCAGATTTCCTTCAGGCACCATGAATTCAGAGGTGGGATGTGTTCGGAGACAACCCTGTCCTCTGTACTTCCTATCATTCCATTCTTGCTCAGTAGGTGTGGCCTACTGAGGATATACTGAGGTGTGGCTTAGGATGTCTCTTTTGGGGCTCCTGTCTTTCCTCATGCGGGGTGCAGGTGCCTGATGCTGGTGCCTTGGATTCCACCCAAAAAGCAAGCCCTGTAACAGCATCTCAGTTGCAAGCAACTGCAGGTCTTGCATTGAGTCTGATTTTACCTGCCTCAGTGCTAGAACATGGGTTTTTAATAGTTCTGGGATTATGTTTATCCATACTGCTCCAGCAAGGCCACAGAAAACAATCATTCAGTGTCTTGTGCCAAGCTAAACACCATGCTTGATGAACAGAGTGCAATTACTTGCCTTCCTGGGTGCAGAGACAAAAGACATGGTGCAAATAGAAAGGACAGAAACATTTTACATTTTTCCAGAGATTAATTCTTTCTTTCCCCCTCTATTCCACAGTTCCTATTTCCTTTCTTCTGGGCTTTATTCTCAGCTTCCCAGGCTGGGTACGTTCTGAAATTCAGTCTTCCTTTGGGGCTAGTTTCACTGACATGCATGATATGCACATCTACCCCAGCGGCTACCGTTGAATATGCTCAACGTGGCTTGGACAGTGTAGATGTCTTAATCCATTTCAGACATCTTCATCCTATTATAAATAGATCCAACTATAAGGATCTTGCAAGTTGTTCAATATAGACTGCAAATTCAGATCACGTTCTCCACCTGCAATGTTTGTAATTTGCCTTGCATCTCTGCTGGTCTTTTGCAAGTGTATGGAGACCATGGAAAGTGAGAACATGAGGAGTTTATGTACTCTACTAACTTCTCCAAGAGTCCAGATCTTCTGTTTTAACAATATGACACTAATACAGACATTACCAGAAGTCTTTTGCTTTCTAAGCACGTCTAGCTCAAACAAACAGAACTTTATAGGGAAAAATATCTAGTGCCTTAAGACACATCAGAAATGAATGGAGTTTAAGATGAGGGACTGAGAAATGCAAACTGTAGCTCTAGCATTTTCTGCTATTTGGAACAAGTACAGGTTTCAAGCTCATAACATGATTGAACCATTACAAAGACAGAGACAAATACTTAAGAGGTGGATAATGAGCACAATATGGAAAGTATCTAGCGGGGACATGGCTGAGCTTGCAAAGAAAACACAGAGGTTAAATCCCTTCATGAAGCTGGCATGGTATTCCTTTGTTTTTCTGGATTTTTTTGGCTGTATAACCTCTCCTGAACGAGGTGTGTCTCAGACCTGAGACAATTTTTAGTGCGTGATTTATTCCATTGCAGGCTCTGAAGATGTTTAAATGTGTGTCCTTGGCTAGGAGGAATATCTGATTCTATTTGATTTGTTTCAATACACAATAAGATGTATAACTCAGGGGTACTTGTCCCATCTTATGTTCCACCTGGCCCTGCAGCCTTTCCATGTGCAGATGCTGCCATCAAAATAACTTCAAGCTTAAGCCTAGGTTGAAGTTGTTGGGTCATTTGCACGGTGCAAACAGAAATATTGGAAAAAAAAGTCAAGAAAAGTTATTTCCATGTGACGGAATCCAGACCATCAGTTATTTTCACATCATAGTATTCAAATCCAGCCTTTTTCTAGGATGTCCGGAGAGTTTATTGACTGTGGAGATTAGTGGCAGGATGACTGATTTTGCCATCTGGAGAGGACACATTTCTCCATCTTGTCTTCCCATGTAGTGGGTCACTATCTTCTATCTCATTCCAGTATTATTTTGGACTGTGAATGTTAGTTCAATACTACAGGATGGGATGGCTAGTATAGTATGATTATAATGGAAAAAAAAAAACAAAACAAAATGGTTCAAGAATGATAGCAGATGAGTGTCTAAAGCGTAAGTAAACAAAGGAAATGCTGCAAAAGGCAATAGCCTGTCAGGACATGAAATATTCTACTTTAGTCTCCTAAGAACCCCATTGGTGAGAAAATTTTCTTCCCTGTTTTTGTTTGTTCATTTGTTTTTGTTTTTAAATTGAACGATGGGTCCAGGGAACCTTTTGCAATGATGAAGCCCCATTTATTATTATGGAGGCAGCATGTATGAATGGAAATCACTTGCCACTTGCCTCCTCCCCCCCAGGTAATGATACAACAGTGAGGTCCTGGCTCCACATCTCCTTCTGGAAAATTGCCTTCTCCAGCCAGACCACTGACTCATCACACCTAGGGCACAGGGCAGACTACACACCTCATTTTCCCACTGCCACACTGCCTACATGAAATTGTTTAGCCTTCCTCCATGTCGCAATCACTCTGACAGTCAGGCATGGGAAAGCCTTCTCTTGCCTCAGGCAAGCGCCCTGAGCAGAACAACACAGGGATATTTCCAGAGGGCTGGACTAGGAGACAGTCCCCTTCAGCAGGGCCTGGGAGGAGAAGCAGCCTGTCCCGACTGCTCCTTAGCATATGAGGGTGTGTGCACGTAGGAA